AACAACTTCACCAACTGTCTTGGTTCCACCCCGAGGATTTCACTGAGAGAACACGTTAGAGGGAATCAGGAAGCAGGAAAAAAGGTCACAAATAAGCACCTCAGGAACAATGAAAGCTTTTCTCCATGCAGCAGTGGGAGAGTTGCTAGAAAAACTGGAAAGGTATTAATCAGAAGTGGCTATAAATCCTCTGGAGTTTTGCTCTTATAAAACTCCTCAGAGAAAGTCTTGAAGGAAATGCAGGTCAAAGCCCAAAAAAGCTCTTGATCAGAGATTGCTGGAGGAAAATCTTCCCAGACGCCGTTTAATAGGCAGCAATCACCCCAGGAGTGGGGAAGCCAAGTACGCTTGAAACATGGTTGCAATTCCTAATAGGTCTTGTCACACTTAAGGCACTGCAAGCTCCATCCAACGAACAGCTGAAGCTAGCTGGCGATTCATAAAGCCAACAGTTTAAAGTTTATTATGATGAAAGCACTTAATGACAGCCATCGCTAGGGGCCCATCATTTATAAAGCTGTGCTGAGTATTAGACATGTAGCATGACCACCAATTTTATGTCACAATTGCTACCATAAAATGACCTTTGGTGATTTTTGCTGCATGTGGTGGACAGCTCTTCCTTCACATTAGTGCTCTGTGGCTTTCTTTGCAGACTATTATGCTGTCTAAAGCTTATTTGGCACTGTCGTGAGCCTCAACCCTTGTCATTACCCCGAAGGCCTGTATAAAAAAAAAAAAAATCTCATGCTCTATTACGCCACTCCAATAATTTACAGTTCTTACTAGCCTTGGTTACTGTAATATTTTAATGCAAATATGCTTTACCATTGCATTCTTTTTTTTTTTTTTTTTTTTAAGTTCCTATGCTTTGGCTAGCAAAATATCCACTTTATGGGAGTTCACTGAAACCAGCCTCTTATTCCCTGGTCAGGGCTCATTGAATGAGCACTGTTCCTCTGGGTCGGTTAAAACATCACCAGGAGAAGAAAAAAAAAAAGGTTAATTAAACTTCCATTGAGAGAATTTTTTTTTTAAAAGATCCTAGTGATAAACCCTCCTAAGGCAGAAACACCAGTTCTTATTTCCTTCCATCCAGTCCCAATGCAAATTTACATCTGAGTAACATTATTTAATTAGGCTTCCATTTTTCTACCTTCTTTGTGTAGTTAGGGAGTGTTTGAATACACGGCCACTTTACTGCTCCAGCGTAAGCCGCTGCTAAAAAAGTGGTCTGTCCATGCTACACCACCTTTAAATTGTGTATATAATTTTATAAATGATATAAAATCTGCTTCGAGTCCCTGTGAAAGTAAAAAAAAAATACAAAAAATAAGCATGGCACACTGCAATTTTGGAAGGATTTAAAATATGTGATTTCTGCTGGTACCTACTGTATTGGGTTTTATATAAAGCTTTTTTCAATAAGGTAAATTGTTACATGACAAACTCATCTTCCACCATTATCATCTGCTGTTTGTGTTTAACAACAGGAGTCCTGCTCTAACAAAACTGTTGTAATGGCTGTACAAATTACTCAGCTGAAAGCTTTTCACCAAACAAAACAGTATTAATCAGCAGTTCTTATGAAGGTGCTAATTAAAAACAATTTTCTTCCTCAGTTTGCAATACTAAAGCCATCTTCACTTGCACAGTTTCCAATATACAGCTACTGTATTTGCTCACACTTCAGACCCTCTATTAACTATTGAATCTCCCATTAGCCATTTTATTACATTTCTGTTTACAAGCTTGTTGACGTTTTCAAAGTCACAGTATGATCTGTTTTATCTATTAAAAAATGTATTAATTGAAAAGTCAGGGTGACGAAAAAGGCAAAATACGGACTCCAAATTCGCAGACTTCCAGGGCAGAGAACATAGTGAGCATTCAGGCATAGCTTGGGCAGTAAACTCTCTAGGTAAAATAAAATCTCAGCATTAAAAGTGGCATTTTAGGCTTAATGGTTTGTTAAGCGCCAACAGGCTCCTTCCTAATTTGGGACTAGTCCACTCAGGAAAATGTATTTGCCCCGACTTTCAAATCCATCCTTTCCCTATGGGATACACATCCTTAGGATGCCGCATACAGTCTGAATTGTGGAGATTTTGATCGGGGGTGAGGGCGTTCCTGGAATCTGGAAACTTCATCTTTCCTGTGAGTGTGTGTATGTATATGTTTCTACCTGTGCTTTGACTCTCTACTGTGTGGATATCTTGTCCCACCCCCCAGAGTCCAATGAGAGGGTTTTGCCAGATGAGGCCACCGAATTGTCTGGCATAGATTGGAACCAAGTCAAATGCTGACTAAGCACAAAGACAAAACTCACGGAAGTTGGGTTGAGGGAAGAAGATTGGCCGCTCCTATGAACAAATAAAAACAACCTTACCCTCAGGAGAAGGTACGCCCCACTTTGGTAGTGGAGAGAAGGAAAAGACAATCACCACCTCCTGCCTACGGTATTCAAACCAGGTTCTTCAACTGTCAAAAGCAGTTAACTAGTTTAGGACAGACACCTGGCTGTTGAAATAGGCTCCAGAGGGCCACTAATCCTTCCATTCACTCGGTTAACTGCTGGATCCCCTGAATTGATTCAACAGGTATGCAGTGGTAAATTCAGCACATACTGAAGCCAAAGGGAAAATCAGCAAGGGGCGGGCAGCTCTTCTCTGAAAACACCCGAGGAACCAGCCAGAAAAGCTTTTATGGCCCTGACAAGTTTTCTGCTGAATACTGAGCACCTAAATTACCCTTCCCTAATGGAAGTTACATTTTCATGCTCAGTCAAAAAGCCAACAAAATACACAATTTATACAAAATAGCACCAACCTCTTAGGTAGTCTTTTCTAGCACTTTTATCCCCATTCACAGCATATGTCTTGCTATAAAATAAAATATATTTCTTATAACCAACTTGTATGTGGCTATTCATATCACCGCGTTAGAACTGACCATGGGTGGATATTAGAAACATTCTTTCATCCAACCAAATCTACTTAGTATGACAAAGGAAATTCATGAGTTTTATCAGAAGATACAGGTATACAAGGACGAGGAATATTATAATAATTCTTATGATTTCCTAAGCAAACAGGCTTCCTTTTTAAACAAACACATGCATAATTACATAGACAATTATGGAATGGGCCATTTCAATTGCAATTATACAACCTACTACTGACGCAGATAGATAACCATAAAGTTCAAAAGAAATGTAAATGGACACACTTCTTAAAGCTGCCTTCTCCATATCGGCATTCCATAAACTTTGAGAAAATAAAAACACTTCAATTATTCAATAATATACAACATTAATTTCTTACAACTTTCAAAGAACCTGAACTAGGGCTATTTCCAGGTGAGGATCCCATGAAGAACAGATCTATGAAACCCTTAACACTTGATAAGAGATTCTCTAAGTTTTAACCACACAAAAAGTATATTTCTTAACTAGGTATCTCTTAGTAAGAACAACTCAATTCTGGCACATTGTTCTCCAATATTTTTAAAAAATATACTATTAGTTTACTTTGTCAAATATAATTTCTCCCAGAGAAATAAACTCAATTTCTATACCCACAACACACAAATGCAAATTGAAGTCTTGCCAATTCGCATATTTTTATGAGAGAGAAAAAAGAAATATGGTCCTGCTGTTCTATATTTTAAAAGAAAAAAGAAGAGACCATTTTAGATGCTACAACAGGATGTGTTTCCTTTGTCTGGCAGATTTAGTTGCAGGTTTTACAGAAGAAATAATCTTGCTGTATTTCCACCAGCTTAAATGGAACTACTTGCGCTGCCTTTTAAAACATGCCAAATTCTAATTTTTAAACAAGAAAATATGAAGCCAGTGTGCAACCTATACAGTCGCCAAAGGAGAGCTGCCACTAGCTGAACTACTCAGCTAAATGGCTGGTTTGCATTGCCCTGGTCTTTATCTAGCACTGAGAATAGACTGCTGTTTTATCCAAAGAGGAATAAATTGCTGTTATTGTGATGTTAGCCCATCACTTGGCATTGCAATTCAAGTTTTTGTGAGAAAGAAATGTATGATCTAACTGCGACTTGACCTATGCCTTCTGAGATCCATCTAGGTGCTCTAATGGAACAGAAAAAGTGGTGAATACAAGGACATGCAAACTGATGGTGAAAAATTTGTTTGATGATAGGAAGGGAGCAGAGAAGACATTTGAGAGTCGCTGTGTTTATGACAGCTAAGTTTGTTTAACATGCAAAAGGATGCACCCCCTCCCAGTCTCCCACCTATCACTTTAATTGTATCACACTGAATACCCGCTTTGCCTCTGCGAAAGAGATGAGTATATATAGCCAACCTGCTAATGACATTACTGCTAAAGTGGGCACAGATGATTCCTTGCAGATAAACATCTGAATTTCCGCAAAAGGCATTAGAGCATCTCGCGGATGCACCAGACAAGATGTGCTTGGGTTCCCTGCAGAAAAGTCATTCTCTCTTAATCCGAGGTAGCACCTATTAAATGTTTACTACACACTTGAATCACAGCATCTTACAATATATACTTATTTTAAATAAGATAATTGTGTGATTGGGTTTTTAAAAACTCCCCCTGGTTGCAATCTAGTTTATCAACCATTTATTCAAAATTTCTCTGGAAATGATCTATTTTGAAAGCGACCTGGAGAACAGTAGTAGTTAGATTTAAGCCCTGATAAAGGCTCACTTTTCATTCATAGTCAGAGCCTAAATGTGCTCTTCTTGTACCTAAACAGATAATAAGCACTCAGCACACTCCCCCTCCTTGACACAGCACACTGAGACTAATCACACATAATTGGGGAGGAGGAGCAGAGGGCTGGCCACGCTATTGTGTCCAGAGGACAAACGGTCAGTTTATGAGGCTTTGGACCGTAGTCATTTCTTATATCGCTATAGGGAAAAAAACATCCTGTTTAAAAGGAAAAAAAGAATGAGAGACAGAGAGTCAGAGAAAGAGATGGCAGGTTTAATACAATTAATTGGAGGGAGATCAGAAAGATGTGATTTATTTCTTTAACCAGGAAAGAATCATGTGTTTACAGATTAAAAACGACCACCACCTAAACAGAACAAAGACAAAAAAAAAAATTTTTTTTAAAATGGGGGTGGGGATTACCAAAGGAAATTTTGTCTTGGATAGAGGGGAAACTATTTAGGTTGCTCACCAGTCAAATTCAAACCTCAGACAGGAGGCTTATACATACTTAAAGATAAACAAAGGTTTGGTGCAGGAAGAGCAACAAGCAAACGGTGAAAAGAGAAGGCGAGGGCACAGGGCAAGAATGGCTGGGGAAGAATGTGGGTGAGGACAGGTGGAGTCCATGACCCACACGTGAAATGTCGCAAGGTGGGGGTGAGTCCTGGGGGCTGGAAATCTCAGGGAGCCAGTGGCTTGCTGCATATTATACTCATGATGGATTTCTGTTTTTGTGAAACTATTTCCTGTGCACTTGATGTTTTCCTCATCTTCCGAGAAGCTTAATCTTCTATCCATTTTTGGTTAAAATTAGCAGAAGTGGGTAATGAAGGTTTTCTTCATATATGTCTGGATTTTCCTTTTTCAACTGAAAGCAATAATAAGAAAAAGAAAGAAAAAAGGTAAGAGGATTCAGATTAGGCATTTTTACCAGTTGATACTCATGTTGAGTCTAACGATGGATGACGTTTTACCTCAATCTATAGTTCTAGAAAAACACATCATAAAAAAAGCAACTCAAAGTAGTTAGTGGCATTGATGGGACAATTCTATACATCAAGGTGTGAATTTGGGGGTTGGGGTGGTGCGGGGTTTTTTTCATAAATACCCAAACTGCATTTTGACCCCTGTAACCTGGGAGGTATGTAATTGAAGGGAGAGATGGGGCTTGGTCCTCTTCACCAGACCAGCCATCTGACATGGAAGTCTCTACTCTCTGTCCCCTTTGCCCCCAACTGGCACCACATCGTTCAGGTAGGCAGCCATTTTGGAGCACCACTTGGACACTGTGGCAACACCTGGGCACAAGGAGAGGCCTGTGGGGCCTGAGACATGACAAAGGCTCTCCAGGAACTTCTCAGGGGCTTTAATATTAATGATAAGTAATTCAGACTTCCTTTCCCTGAGGAGAAGAACATATTCCAACAATTAGAGCAGCAACATTCAATACTGCTCAGGCGAAGTTCTGAGGACCCTTCCATGATATCATTTAAAAATCTAACCAGTGTCTTCAGATCTAAAGGGCACCTTTTCCTCATTCAGCTAGAATAGTTTTGAAAGTCATCTTTATATTTATTCTAGCAAAGAGTCATTTGCTATTTATGAAGAAGAAATTAATATTTTTGAAATTGGCATTTGTGAGCCAATTGTTCATTCATTTTCAATGTATAAGGATCAAAAATAAATATTTATTCTAATTATACATGGAACCAATTCCTTTGCTTCTTCAAATGGGTCCACCACCCACCCCTATTGTACCCTATGCTGTACGCACGGCGCCAACGGCACACTTTCCTGGACTGGTCTGTCTGGGGCATGTTCACTTGATCTTAACTGTGACATGTCCCCACTATTAAGGACAGTAGAAACAAGCCCGCTTTCCTTTTTCCACTTGGGAACATAAAGGTAACTCAGTCTTTACTTTCAAATCCACTTTCCCAAGAACTGATGGTGGTATAATCACAGAAGTGACTTCATTCTGTTTTCTCAGATAGAGTTTGTTCTGTTTACAGATGATTAGTTATCTATTTAGAAGGATCCTCGTGGATTTTTGGGCCACCAAAGTAGTGACAGTGTTAATCCTAAACACTACTCTTCAACACTAGTCATTCAACACTACTCTTTAATTTTAGCAAACGCTGAGAAAATGGCTTCGTCTACCTCCCACACCACACCCACTGACTGAGACCTACCAACTGTAAATACCTTTGTTACAAGTTGCCCTAGTGATAGAGGGAGCTCACTGAAATATTTTATAGGGGGAAGAGAGGGCCAAGCTAGCTAAATTCTTTCCTCAGGGATTGAGGATAAGGGAAAGTTGATTACTCAGTGGCAGTCAGCTGACCTACTCACTCACAATGCACTAATATACAGAGACTCAAATGAGCTCTTTATAAAGTCCCTGAGGTAATATGTGGGATAAATAATTCTTCTGTAAATATGGGTTCGAAATCACTTTTAACTTGGATTCTATGCTGACCTCTGGAGGCCAAAGCAGAGGCTTCGTTGCTGGAAGGGGCCAGGGGCCAGCCCCGACTCGACTGTGAGCCCTTCCCGCAATGGGGAAGAGCCGCCAGCCTCAAAGGCAACACCTACAACCCAGCGCTGGATCGTTTCTGCATCCGGCAAGTCTGTTATGTGAGGGTCCTTGAACATACACAGAGCTGGTAGGAAATACTTGCTTTGACGGGGAAACGTTAGGAGGTTTAAGAATAATGCCATGGACCCAGGCTGTACTTCTTTGCCCAATTAGTAATTACAATTTTAGCAAGTAAAAAAAATCACCTTGAAAAAAATGAACGAAAAGCAAATTGTGAATAAAACAATTTTTCAATTTCATAGGTTAAAACAGGGTCTTGGAGGACTGAACTAAATTACATAGCTGCTATTAGTAGCATTATGCTTTACTTCATAATTGGATGTAACACGCTCAGCCTTACCACAGTGTGAACAGCAGCAGCGGGAGCGGAGTTCAGACTGTTTACCCTTTACAGTATCCACAATTATCAACAGCACACCACACAGATTATAAGCACCAGCCACTTGTAATGTGGCATTTTGAATAGATAAGCAGAAGTGCAATATGGCCGTGCTTTTAACACAATGTACTGACTTCACAGCCCAGCCCAAGCCTATTTTCAGGGATGCATACAGAAATACAGAAAATAAACACTCAAGGGTGGTTCTGAAAAAGTTTTCTTAAAAAATCTATGGCTTGTAAAATTTTATTTCAAAAAAATATTTGCATGAGTGAGAGTATTTTTATCAACTAATTTCAAGCCAGCTGTAATCTCTAAGTCATGTCGCTATCTTGCTAAACAATTTGCTATCTTAGCATCCTAAAGGTTTTGAACCACACCATGGGGGCAATACATTTGATTTCCAGCCTGGAGGAGACTGAGAGGCCGGGAGGAGAGGAAAATGTTTTATTTTTCTTCCCGTTGCCTGGATGAACAGAAAGGCAATCTTTTCTAAAACATACTACACCTTTGGCTGCCTGGTTCCTGAGCACGCTGGCTGCATGGTGTGGGCACAGTTTAACAAAAGCACTGGCAGAAAAGTGCAGAATGGCACCGTTTTGATTACAGGCTTGCTTTTTAACGGAAATAAAATTTCACAGTTAACAATGAGAGGTGAAAAGTTTAAGAGGCAAAGCTATTCCTCCTGATCACTGACTGTTAATCAGCTTCATGGGTGGTTGCCTAAATCTGTAGTTTTTTTTTTTTTTTTACCTTGCACTACTGCCAAGATTGTAACTAATTTTTTTCCCCTGTTGTAAGAGGAGGAGAGAAAAACTCGGCATCGGAGGCAGCTGTGTATGAGTGACGCGAGGCGCTAATGCAGAGGGCAAAATTAAAATTCATGAATCTCTTCACAACCATTTGTGTAACAAGATTAAGACGGGACAGCGGAAAAGAGCGGCATTATCAGGCGTCTTACAGTCCTCCAGCTGGTTACGCTCTATTCCAACACAGTAGGGCTAAGAGGATAACACGCAGCCTGAAGGAACACGCCGCTCCTCCATTGGGGAGCAGCGCGTCCCAGGGACCAGGGGGCTTGGGCCAGAGATGGAGAGGAAGAAAGCTGATTGCCGCTCAAGATGGAAAACTTTTAAGCCCCGGTTATTAGCACGCGGCCAACAAAAGCCGCCAGGGTGGAGGCTCCCGGCGGCCGAGTCCCCGAGCCCCGGGCGACCCGGCAGCGGCCGGAGGGGGCAGGGGTGCCGCGTCGGACCTGCAACCCCGCGCGCCCTGCTGCAGGGCACTGGGGCGCGGCGAGGAGCAGGGCGCTCCTCGCTCCGTCCAGCTGGGCCCCAAGGCTCTCTGTCCGGCCTCTGGGCGAGATCCTTCGCCCGCAAAGGAGACCCACGACTCCACGTGTGAGTTGGAGGTGGGTCGTCGCGGCACGACTCTGGGCGGGGAGGGGTCAGCACACACTGTCCCCGCTGCTGGAGCAGGTGCAGAACGGACGAGAGGCATTCTCTTGCTAGAAGCAGAACACCAAACCAGCTGAAATAGCGCTCATCATCAAAAATAGATAGCGGGAGCTCCTGTTTACATCTTTTACCCAGGGCGCCCCAACCCTGCAAATATTCCTCGAGGGGTTCTACAACCTCACAAGCAACAAGGGAACTGTTTCTTAGTCCAGTGTCAGCAAAGTGTGGATTTGTCTCTTCAGCAATTCTGAAGCGAGGAAAACTAAATCCACTTATTTATGGAAATTTATATTTGCAGGATCAATCAGTCGGTGATTCCCTACAGAGCACTAACGGGGCATGGGGCACAATGGAAAGAAAAGGGGCGGTGGAGAGATGGCCGGAAGGCGCTAGGCTCAGCAGGGTCGTCTTCAACATCGGAAACAAAAGAGGTGGTGCTGGCCACTAGGTGCTGACACTCCAAAGTTCTAGACAAAGGAAGGCGGGCATGTTTCGTGTGTCCCAGCACCCTTCAGATCTTTCCAGAAGGGTGTCAAGCACAATGCTCACCATCTTTGCTGATGGAGACCCGGTGTCTTTACTCTTCTGAGTGATCGCTGAGAAACGAAAAACATTTGTTTTTCTATGGGGAAGTGAGTGTCGTGACATTGAGGCAGCTGTCAGCTGATCCCTGTAGCTCCGGTCCCACCCAGAAGAGAAGGCCACATTATTCCTTTGGGAGGAGAAGCCCAGGGGGCCAGGAGAGACTCTTCTCTCACCAGATAAAGCCCGAGAGTCATTCCTTTTGTTTTGGGAAGGGGTTGGAAGGAGAAAAACATCATTTTAGAGAGGCAGGTAAGACTGGAATCACATGCCATTCTGTTTTTGCTTTCTGATTGTGAGCAATGGGCCTGATGTTACCAGTGAGAGGGTGTGATTTAACCCTTTCAGTTCACAAAGCGCTATCCGCCCCCCTAGGCTAAATGGAGCCTTCAAGATTCAAATAAATAAACCTGTAAATCCATTTCCAGAAAGTGAGAATTTCCTTTCTATTGCTGGGAAGATCAGATTCATTTTGCATATAATTTCCAAGAGCCAACACACTTCTACATTATATCATAGTCCTGGATAATAAAGAATGCTATTCACATTGTCCCGAGAGAAAATGAAGGTCAGGCCTTTACTTTTCTGCAGTCACAACTTGTGAAATCATGACAAGTTCAAGTCACTCGCCAAGGTCAGGCTGACTCGGTGAAGGGAGATTTCCGTAAGGCACAAAATTACAGAAGTAATACATGTTATACTAGTCACTGTGACATGTATTAGCAAAAGTGAGAATCCCAAAAAGTTTTCCGTGAAATACTTGCTTCTCTGTGTCCTATATTGCTCTATACCTATAAATAATAAAAAGGCTGATAACATTGCTTTATGTAAGCAGGCTTAGAAATCACTCTCAGATAAGTGCTTTTGACCTAAATCTTGTAGCGCCTCGATCTGACATATAACCCCACAACTGTGAAATTCTGTATGAGATTTAACAGTCTCAAACTGCCAACTGACCCAGCCATAAAGCAAGCAGAGATAAAGATTTACAGTCCAACATGATACAATTAGACATTCACCTTCTATTTATTTCAGTGCAGCTAAGCATTTAACCTACTTAAAAGCCGAAGGTTTTTCATTAAAATATAAATGCGTGTTTATCACTCATTCTATGCCACCCTCCCTGGCATCCTACAAATTAGTCTATTATGAATGAAAAGATTAGTTTGTTTCAGAGAAAGGAGTAAACAGGAATGGTTTCTGTAAAATCCTTCTAGACATGCAAAGATAAAAGATGGCTTTGCCACACAAAATAATCAGATACAAATAGCTGTTCAGAAGCAACACACCTAAGGAGTACTTTAATCAAATATTTAGGTTACCTGCCAAAAAGACCATGATCTCTTCAAAATGCAATGCGGATTAAAGTGTTATCTAACACAAGCAGAAAACTAACCTTGGAGTGGAAGTTTGAAATGTGTTCATCATAATTTTCATGTCTTTGGATAGAGAAACCAGCTTTTTCAGCTAGATTGCAAAACTGGTTTAAAGTATTCCCTCGGCGTGGGGCGAATACCATTGCTTTCCCCTAGAACATTAAAAAGGAAATTCACACATTTTAAAATTGGAAGGCAACCAAACATAACAGACATTGGTCAAAGCATTTAATGTACTACCCTTAGGTAGAAAAACTCAATTGTTCTTGAGACGTCCACACAGGATGGGCATTCACAGTGAGAGTAATTTCCAGGATAGATAAACGTCAAAGAAGAAAAAAAAATCTATTTCACATTCAAATGGCCAGTTGCTGTGTTTTATCCTTTTCAAACAATGCATATCATAAACAAAATGTGGTTGAAAGTTGGCGTTCCGAACAACATGCACTGTCTCGGATCCGGTGCTTTAAACCATGGACTAGACTTCAGAGTAGCTGGTCCAGGCCAGTGCCACTCCCCTGACTCTTTTGCATCTGCCAACACACCTGCAACATAGCTCTGGAGCATGTGGCAACGGATGCTTATGTATGTTAGTTTACTATGCCCTGAAAATTCAGTACCAAGGAGTCCTTTACAGGGATTCCTATTGGAGTTTTCAAGTTTCAGTCCTGCCACCTGCCTTTTCTGTGACCACAGTGTCAGAGACAAGGCTCCAGGACCTTGGTTTCCAACGTCATGGAGTCCCTCATAGCATTCATCACTACAGCAAAACAGCTTCTCGGTCTTCAGATGTCTACTTTTCAAAGAAGGTGAACAGGCTTTTCTAAATAAAACACACAATCTTATGATCAGGAAACTGGGAGTACTTGAATTAACAACATACTGGATTGCAGACAATCTGACGTGAAATTTCACAATGACTGTTTGCCCACTACTGGGTGCACGTGGATTTGTGGATTTTACCTCCCTCTCCTAGATGTGTACAGAATGGCCAAACTTCAGAATCTTCTTTTCCTTCTATTTTTTTTTTTTTTTTAAGAATGGCTATATGCCTCTGTTAATTTCAAGGTTACACTTCGCTTCTGTGAAATGCCGCTTCTGGTTTTGAGGGAAAAGATGAAAATATATCCTAGTTTCTTAAGCAAGGTGGTTTATCATTCACAACTACCATCCATTTCTGGAGCATCTGGTACAGCAGGCAAAGGGCTAGGCATTCATAAATACAAGGGAGGACCCCACAATTTATTTATAAGAAACTGTGTATTCTCATGTGTTTAAGCTTCAGTCACTTTTTTTTTTTGAGTTGGAATCTCACTCTGTCACCCAGACTGGAGTGCAGTGGCTGCTCCCAGCCACCGCAGCCTCGAGCTGCTGGGCTCCGGCGATCCTTCCGCCTCAGCCTTCCAAATGGCCGGAACTACAGGTGTGCGCTACCATGCCCAGCTAATTTTTTGATTTATTATAGAGATGAGGTCTCGCCAAGTTGCCCAGGCGGGTCTCGAACCTGTGGGCTCAGGCAATCCACTCACCTCGGCCTCCCAAAGCGCGGGATTACAGGCTGAGCCACCGAGCCCGGCAACTTCAGTCACTTTCAAAGTACTCTTTGCTGTAATAAACCTACCGAGGTGCTTTTTCCACTACTCAGAAAAGTGTTTGAACTGCGCTTCTGCTGTTTGTTGTTTCACCTCTTCCACATGACAAAACATTTCCTTTTTTTCATCCAGGGGAACAACAACAAAAAAAGTCGCTTGGGGTGAGATCGGGTGAATAGGAAGGGTGGGGCACAAGGGTCATGCTGTTTTTGGCCCAAAACTGCTGAACACTCAGCATGATATGAGCAGGTGCGTTGTCATGGTGGAAGAACCAGCCATCTGTTTGCCACAACTCGGCACCATGCTGTAACCTTCTCAGAACATACAGATAAAAACTTTGGTTGACCATTTGATCCAGAGGAACAAATTCTGAGTGTACTACAAGGGTTCTGTCCTTCAAAAAGATAATTCGGGTTTTTTTGGGTCCCCATCATATATCATCTCCCTTAGACTCTAATGACCTTTGATTGTGGTGTTTTCAGCTCTACTGGTAAATGATTAGAAGCCCCAGCACTGATGCCCTTCCCATGACACTACATTGTCTCCTTATGAGTAACAGTGATGACGATAATTACAGCTACCCCTGTGCTAGGTGTTTTGGGAAACTTCCTTTTAATCCCCTCAACGATCTTCTCAACAACCTGTACAAGCCGGGCTCAGTGGCTCAGCCTGTAATCCTGTGCCTTGGGAGGCTGAGGTGAGTGGA